AGTAGTTTTAGTTGAAAAAGTTGTTAAATGTTTGAATTGAGAGTAAGTTTTTGCAAAACTTGCATAGTTTGTATGTAATTGATTTGGTTTCAGGTAAAGAAAGTAGATAAATAAAAGTGGTCAAGATTAAGTTTAAGTTCAGTTTGTTAGCACTATGTTTAGCTAGAGCATTGACTATATTATGTAAAATATTATTTAAATATAATTTAACTTTGTGTATAGTGTAATATTTTTTTTTCTTTAAGCAGTCATACTAATGCTTTATTACAATTCTTAGAATTACTTTTGCAATTATATAGATGTATCTAACAACTAAGTCTAGCATCACCCAGCTACCCTAATAGCATCTTAGTACAACCTGTCATATTACTTCAAGCAGAAGTAAGCTGCTTGTCTGACTACTTAAAGTCTGTAATAGAAGGGTCTTCTTTCTTTTATGACAAGTCTTCACATTGTTTTCCTAACTTCATCTTCAATTTGTTTTTCTTTTTTTTTTGCCTTCTTTTTCCTTTCTTCTATCTCTTGTTGATTAGCCTTCTTTTTCTTGCTTGGGTTTTTTTCTTCTTTTGGATTCCTTTCTTTGCTTTGCCTGTTATTTCTACTTCTTTTTCCTATTTGTTAATCTTTTTGCATTATATTCTCTAAACCTGCTTGTAGAAAGTGTCCCAGGCTGTTCTTGCTACTATGTTCACAAACTGCTATCTTGTTCTTGTACTTAGAAGTCATCCTAATCTGTCTTGTATTGCTTTTGGAATTAGGCCCTTAATTAGCACTTTTCTTATATCTATTTTCTTCATATTGGAATATGATCTGTTATGACTTATTGACAAATTGTCAATTATAACCTTATGATCTGTTATGACTTATAAAATTTACTAATACATTATGACCACCTTGGTCATATAAAGTTTGATATGACCTAAAATGGCCAACCTGATTTTTTCTTCCTCCATTTTTCTGAAGAGTGCTGTATATAATATTTAAGGTAGGACTTGGATTTTTTCTTCTTCTTTTAATCCTTTCCATGCTGCTGCAGTGAATACTTTCTAAATTCTTTTTAAAAACTTGTTTGTCTCTTGCATGATGCCAGATGTGCTTGTGTTTCTTTAACTTTGTTTTGGCAAACTTGGTACTCTGCCATTGTATATATATCTGCCCTTCTTCTGTTAAGCTCTTCAAAAATCAGAAGTTTGTTTAATACATATTTTATAAATGCACTTCTTCTTGTACTGCTTCTTTTTGTTATGCAGTGTACTCCTTTAATTGACTTCAGTCTCTTCCAAAAGTATGTCCAATTATAGATCATTACTTCTGTCTCTGGTTCTAGATTCTTAATTGCTGTCATTTCTCTCTACTCTGCTTCTAATCTGGCATTTGTTACTAGTTTGCATAGAAGTCTTGCTGATATGTCTATACATTTGTTTTCTCACTCTAGAAAGTACTCTAACTCTTTATAGCTAACTTTTTCTATATATATTATCTTTCTGCTTAATGTTACTTTTTTTGCAAAGCTATCAGCTTTATCATTCTATTTGTCTCTACTATAACTTTTCATTTTAAACTATTCTACCTATATGTTCTTTGTCCTGATTAGATCAATTATCTTTACTATCTATAAAGCATTTTTTCTTTTGAGAATCTTATTTCTATTTGTGCATTCTAAACCTTTACTAATGTTTCTTATTGCAGCATTACTGTCTATAAATATTTCTAGTTTTTTTCTTTTAGTATCATCAAGATTGCTGTCTATATTGCTATTAACTTGGCTGTAGTTGATGTTGGCCATCCTTCTACCCCTAACACTACCTCTTATTCTGACTAATCTTGTGCCTCACTTGTTTGCACCTATCTTATATCTATGTTTCTATCTGTTATTTCTTCTTTATTCTTTACATTTGCTGCACCATCTGTATATATTGTATATTTGTTTTTGCTTCTTGTTATATTCCTTTTTAAAACTTCTACAATCTCTTGAATAACATTTTCTCTTAGCTTTTGCCTTTTGGCCAATTCTATTTCTAGACTCTCTAGTGGTTTGAATCCTATTAACTTTTGTTCTTCTTTTCTCAACTCTTCTGCTCTTGCATTTTCTATCAATTAGTCTGTTGCTATCTTAATTATATTGTTGCTTTTTCTTATTAGCATATTTGAAATTGTATTTATCTTGCTGTTGATTCTTATCCAATACTAACAACTTCCTTCTACTGTCTCTCTTCTTTTGTGCACTCATCATATCTGCTGATTTCAGTTGCTAGATCATTTTCTTAGTTTTGCATTTGTCAATATTCTATTAGTATCTTCTTCTTTTTCTTTTTAACTATCTTCTTCAGTTGTTTAGCATCTTGTGTACTATATATTATTCATTCTTTCCTTCTTCTATTTTTTGACAGACTTTCTATTTGATCTTTATTGCCTGTATATTGTATTTGTCTGTCTTAAAGTGTTTTTTAACCTCTCTGCTTTCTGGTCTATTAAGCATTTTTGCCTTTATTTTTTTAAACTATTCAGCTTTTTTACTCTTACTCAATTGTTTCTAGTAGCTTTTGAACTGCTACTACATTATTAGCCTTTTACCTTTTGTGTTAAGTAGCTGGTTTAGGTATATTAGCTCTGCTTCACTTATTTTGGTTCTACTTCTTTTTCATAATTGTATTTCCAATAATTCACCTATTCAAGGTCTGTAACTAATTGTTGTCTATAATTCACTTTCTGTG